GATAGACAAACAGAAAGGGCCGCGCTAAGCTAGGACATGGAAATACAGTCAACTGGGACTCAAGCTTTTGCAGTTGTTAAGCCGTGAGATCGTGTGCACTGTCCTTCTACCAGACTTCTTTAGAATGGCATTGCGAGACTACTCAGAGTTAAGCAGCATCCCAAGTGTTCTCTAAAAATAGTCATTCTCAAGACTTAAGTCGGCACTTCATACCCCCTGATTTAACTTGATGGGGTCCTGGAATCTGCTTTTTCAAGCTCCACCTCCCCCTTCCCTCTGCTGTTGGTTTAGAAAAAGGGTTGGTTTGATGCTTCCAAAAAGAGTTGAACCTCTTCCTTGATTTTTTTTTTTTTAGTTCTTTTATTATTACTGATATTTTAATGAGAGTTTATAAAGAACTTGGATTTCTATTTAGTCATTGTTGCACATTTTCCTCCTTGCGCTTCCGAGTTCATTTTTTTCCTTTTGAAAAAAACCCTTATTTCATTGTTTTACAGTCCTGTCATCCCCCACCACGGACCACTTGACTGTGCGGCTCTTATTCTGGACTCTTGTCATTCCCGGAGGCAGCCTGCTTAGGCAGAGAACCTGATGTCTCCATCCACAAGTGCTGCGGGAGTAAATACTAGGCTGACTGCACTTACTAGTTGACTAGTGCCTCTATTTGAAAAATAGTCATATTAATAGATATTTCTAGTATGGATGTGGATGGTATCGCAGCACTGATAGCATTGCACTTCAGGGCAGACTTTGAAATGTTCCTTTTCACTGCGAATGTAACTTCATTCTTCCCAACTTGTCATTCTTGCGAAAGGAGACTTGTCTGATTCCAGGTGGCCAATCCCATCTTACTTCCCTAATGCCTAGTATGTGGATCTTCATGCATTCTATTTTATTACTGACAGCTTCCCATTTTCCTGAATTCATATCTAGTATATTCCATATTCCAATTATTTGTGGATGTTTGGAGCTGTTTCTCCCCACTCTTGAGTGCCTTCCAAACCAGACTCACCTTCCACCATTGTATCTAATGGCTGTCCTCTGTTAATGGTAGAATAGATGGATGGCCAGTCTTGCTTCTTAACCTCTCTCAGTCCGGAAGCTCCGCTGAAACCTGTCCACCAAGAGGCCTGGCCTTCGGGTTAGCAGCACACATTCCTAAAGACGACATGGTCCTGGGCTTTGACCGAAAAACCCAAGCCCTGATTTTCATTTCCCTCATCCTGTTTTCAGTTATTTTTATCTTTCTTTTTTTTTATTTCTTTATTTATTCTTTTTATGTGTACCGTCAAATTGGATCTGACTGGTACAGGAGGCGATTGTTCCTCCTTCTTCAGCAGAGCATCTGGTGGATTTGAACCGTGCACCTCTAGGATTGCAGTGCAGTTTCCTGCCACTAGGCCACCAGAGCTCACCTATTTTTATCTTTCTAAATAATTCTTCGTAGTTCCCTTTATCACTATAATTTTTAATCTTTTAAAAATACCATTAACTACCCATAACTTTGGAGGGAAAATGGGAGTTTACATAGTATAAGTAGTTTGGGGGAAATGGGTTTAAAACCCAAAATACAAAGCTTAAGGTCAGTAGCACAACAGTTGATCTCTCTTGACCTGGAGCAGCAGAGAAAGGAGCGTCAGGAATAGGACGAGGGTGTGAATATGTAGTTCATTCCCTCTGTGAACAGTTCCCTCCCCTACATGACCAGAAGAACCGGATGGTACCCGGCTACCATTACTGAACAGTGAGTCCATCTAAAGGGAGAAGAACAACTCAGAAACAGAAATGAGAATGGCTGTACAACTTGAGCAGTGTAATCACTGTCATTAAATTGTCTATTAGAAACTTCTGAATTGTATGTCCTGCTTAAGGCTTGTCCAGTAATCATGTTTCTCTGCTTGAGATGTTCTGTGTTTCAAAAGGAGACAGATTTAAAGGTAATCTCAGGGCAACAGTTTTGGGGATGCATTCCATCTCTGTGGTTCTAGACAATCTGATTCCATGAGAATATGGACTTCTGTATTTCTCCTTTGGATCAGATTTTTTTTCTATGGAATCTTTGCTTAGAATGAGACAGGGAGACATGCAGGACACACTTAACTTCTCCTAACATCCTCTCTCACAGGCAGGGACACTTAGGTCTTGGTCTGTGTTTAAGACAACAGCCTGAAAAAAGTCGGGCCATCAATCACATCTGCTTCCGCCAAGACCTCTGGGAGGCCAAGGATACAACACAGGAGCATCCTGCTGTGGCTGTTTCTACCATATCGCAAACGTTTGCCTTTGCCATTCCCCCCCCACACACACCCCGTTTTACTTACTTGGTTATTATTATTGAGAACACACAGAGCAGAACGTACAATTCAGAAGTTGTCAGCTGTCACTTGTGGCCCACAACTTCTGCCCTGAGGAAACGTAACAAAGGGGCTCAGGCACCTCTCTGTGCCTTGTCTTTGACACAGCGCCTGGTCATGCCTTGGGAGATGACAGCACTCGCCTGCTGCTGAGAGAACAGCACCAGATCTGAGACACAAGACCTGGTGGACAGTCGAAGAATGCCACCTTCGGGCATCTTCCAGAGAAAGGGCAGGTAATGGTTGTACATTAATTGGTGAATCGTTAAAGAAGCTACAAGTGTCTTTTACTTCCAGCTGCTTGTGTGCCTTCTGGACTCATAAGTCCAGATGTTTATCCAGCGTCATCACTTGGCATCTTACTCTGCCTCGCCCAGGGTCTTTCTCATCTCAGGTATGTTGTTGTTATGTGCCGTCAAGTCACTTGCGACTCATAGCAATCCTATGTACGACAGCCCTAAACCCTGCTCTATCCTGTGCCAATCGCATTGCCTCTGACACTCCCATCCCGATTACCCCAGTCACTGAATCAATCCACCTAATAGAGGGTCTTCCCCTCCTGCACTGTCCCTCCACCCTCCCAAGCATGATGTCCCTCTCCAAGGACCTGTCTCTCCTTACAACATGTCCAAAGTATGTTAGACGGAGCCTCAGAATCCTTGCCTCCAAGGAGCCACCCGGTTTAACCCTTTCCAGGACAAATCTGTTTGTTTTCCTAGCAGTCCATGGTATCCTCAATACTCTTCTCCAGCACCACAGCTCAAAGGCATCAATTTTCCTTCTATCCTCCCTAGTCATTGTCCAACTCTCTGATGCATAACAAGTGATTGCAAAGACCATGGCCTGTATCAGACACACCTTAGTCTCCAGATAGACACCAATGCTCTTCAGTACTTTGGAGAGTTCCTTAACAACAGACTTTCCGATGGCAATATGTCTTTTAATCTCCTGGCCACTGGTGCTGAGAGTGTTGACTGTGGAGCCAAGCAGACTGAGCAGTGCCATCTTTTGAGTTGCCTGGTCAGATCTTTAATATCGCCTTTGAGTCCTGGCTTTCTCTCTCACCTCCCATCCAGTCCATCAGGAAATCTGTTGATCTGGTTGGATCACTCTTAACAGACCACCTTCCATCTCAGTCTCCCATCATGCCTTACCTGCATCATTGAACCGTCTTTCTCACTGGCCTACCCTTTTCCGCCCTTTCCATCCCTGGACTTCTTATCAGCACAGCAGCCAGGTTTGTCCTGTGAAAAATATCAGTGAGGCATTCCTGCAGGGCATTTTTGTCAGTAAAAGACACCCTGTTGCCATAGGGCCTTCTTCCATCTCTGGCTTCATCTTCATTTCTGTCCTCCCCTGCTCTCTGCTCTGGCCTCACTGGAGACTTCCACCTTGTTGGTCCTCACGTACACCCAGGCACCACTCACCTCAGGGCTTTTGTGTTTGCTGCTCTCTCATCTAGAAAGTGCCTCCACCAGAGAACTACTTGGCTCTCTAAGGATTGGCTCAAACATCCCCATTTTCAGGAGACCCATTCTGTCCACTTCCCACTCCCACCTCATTCCCAATCCATTTATTTCCACAGTACTTATCACTTTGAACTTATTTTACCATTTGCCCCAGTAGGACATTCCACGTTGTAAAAGGTTGTGTTTTAAGGAACTCATTCAATATTATTCAAAATGGGTGAGCCTGGAGGACATTATGCTGAGTGAAATATTTCAGTCACAAAAGGACAAATATTGCATGGTGCCACTGCTGTAAAATGGGACTGATATCAGGGTGGGGGTAAGACTGAGAAAAACTGGATAAATTGTGTGTACTACACTGAAACAGATGAGGGACTGAATAATTTAAAAGCGGTGTATGATAGGGTATCATGGTTATCACAAGAGTTCACAATTAAGGTTGCATAATGGAATGTACTTGGGGCGGTGGGAGGGATGTGGGGGCATTGTGTACCAGGGAGGGAGTCTTTCTTTTACTTTTTAAATTTTTTTTTTATTTTTTATTTTATTATTTGTGTGTACCGTCAAATCAGATCTGACTGGTACAGGAGGAGATTGTCCCTCCTTCCCCGGCAGAGCATCTGGTGGATTCGAACTGTGTGCCTCTGGGATTGCAGTGCAGATTCTTGACACTAGGCCACCAGAGCTCCCCTTTTCTTTTACTTTTGAAAGAGAGGAGTGAACTGGGGGACACGGGGGGATTGCTGGGTGGGGAGAGAAGTGCAGCAATGAATGAATGGAAATTCAGATTCTCTGTAAATGTTCATTAAAATTATTAAAAGGAAAAAAAAAGGTTGTGTTTTTTCATGGGCACATATCTGTCCTCAGTGCCTAGGAGTATGTCTGGGACCCATGGGTTACTCTGTAATTTGCAGCAGGAATGAATGATTTATCTGTTATTACCATCAAATGACCAAAATTCTCTAGTCAAGATAGAAACGCATGGACCTAAACAGTTTAAGGAGAAAATAATTAATGTCTCATGTTGAAACCCTGTTTACAATTTGACTAAAAGAAAGATAAACCTGTTTGAACCTGACTTACATGTCAAAATCCTGGCTGGGATCCCCAGTTAAGCTTTGTAGCATTTGATTGATGATTTATTGTGCTGCTTTTGTCTTGTTCAAGTGCCCAAGAGATGGATGAGCTGCTTGCCGAGTTTATCAAGAGGCTCCTCTTGAAAATCCCAATTTCAGAAATTATGACAATCCTCAGGACATGGGGCTTTTTGTCTGAAAGTCAACTGCAGACCATCACCTTACGGCAAAGAAAGGAACTTCTTGCTCAGGACGTGGTCCAGCTCTGTGAGGTACGTGTTCAAAGCAACGAACCCTGAACCGCATGCTTCCCCTTTGTTCTTTATCCTTTTCCCCGTCCCTTTGTCCAGAGGGGATATAAGATTACTAAACCATGAGGAACTCTAGTAGTTCTGTGCGAAGTGGTGCTGCCAACCCAAAGGCCGCACCTCTGCACCTCTTGGCGGTACGAATTCATCATCAGCTCTTCAGGATGAAGATGGACATTCTCCTCCTGGGCGATTTCCAGACAGAAACACTGGTGCGTCGGCTGTGAGTCAGCTCCAACTCCCTGGCAATGAAAGAGAGAGACTGAACTGATGAGGGCTACGATCTCCCCAAGGGAAGGAAGGATCTACAGCCTTTGAAACCCTCTGGGGCAATTCTCATCGGCCCCGTGGGGCGGCTGTTAGTCGGAATGCACTTGACAGCAAACAACAGCATCACCTGACCTTTAACTTACAGAGAACCCTTAAATATCAAGAAGGAAATAAAATACATTAATAAAAACCAGGGGGACTATAACAGTCCAAGCACTTGGAAAATCAAGTTGACACTTTATTTAAAAGGTAAAAAAATACCTACTATACAATTCAGCCTTTCCATGCCTAGGAAACATAAGTCCACACAAATATGTATAGCAATATTGTGTAATACCCCAACAATATCTATCCAACAACCCAAAATGTCCATCAACAGATAATTGGAAAATAAATTAAGATTTATATGAACAGTTGACTGCCATAGAGTTGGTTCTGAATCATAGTCCTGATCACAGTCCTGAGGCTGTAAATTGTTGTGCTCAGAGACTATTCCTTTCTCTCTCTCTCTCTCTCAACAACTGACTATCCCGTGGACCTGCCAAAAGAACAAAGAAATACGTCTTTGAGAAAGGGCAACCAGACTGTTCCTTGGAGGCAAGGATGGTGAAGCCTCATCTCGTGTATTTTGGACATGCTGTTACAAGAGGCTATTATTGAAAAGGGACATCATGCTTGGGGAAGTGGAGGGTCAGCAAAGGAGAGGGTGACCTTCAACGAGATGGATTGGCACTATGTCTGTGGCAGTAGTCTCCAATGTGTTGAGGATGATAAGGATGGTGCAGGATAAAACACAGATCTGTTGTTCATAGGATTGCTATGAATTGTCCTCGACTCGACGGCACTTAACAGCAACAAAATGTGCTTCAGGTAGGATGCAATCAAATCTGTCACCGCATTCCCTAAATAATTTATTCTTTTTTTTTTTTTTTTTCAGGAGAGTGGTGTAAGTCTCGATGACGTGGCCCTTTTAGACATCATTTGTAAGTTGTGATCTTTTTTACTTAAACTGAAATGCCTACACCCTCAGCGGGGACATTTTGTGTGAAATCGGTTAGGCCCTAGAATTAGGGGATAGATGAATGATGATGTCAAGATCCTTGGGGCCCCTGGAAAGGTGGTCTTAGTGGCAAGGCGGACATTCGCAGTATAGAGTGGGGTGACAAGAGACAGTACAGTGAGGACAGTAACTGCAGATACTTTGCCAGAAAGGAGAGCAGAGCAGGAGGGTGGTGGTTGGAAGGGACTTGGTGCATTCGTTAGGGCAAAGGCACTCATTGCCTTGACGGGAAGCTTGGTCACGTTCACGTTCAGCTGGAAAGCAGGTGTCTGTTGATTTCAGGGTTTATCAGAAGCCCACACTCTTCAAGGCAATGTGCTCGAGTCGGAGGAATTTTCAGAGATCTGGGGGAAAAATTGGCTTGTCATGCTGCCCAAATGTGCGTCCCTGCTGGGTTATACCTTGGGATGTCAGCAGTTCGGACCCACTAGCCGCTCCTCTGGAGAAAGACAGACAGCCTGGGAAACCTCATGAAGGGTCACAAGAAGTCAAAATTGACTCGACTGTTGTGGGTTTGGTTTCTGACTTGGGTGTGAAATGAGTGGAACGCACACATCTAACGTGTGACAATTAGATGCGTGATCTGTGAGGGAAAAACCAAAACCAACAAACCCTAACACGTCTCTAATACCCAGGTTGGCTGTATGAGTCCTTGGCTCTGAGGTTAATATTAGCTTATCATTTGCTTTACTTTTGTTGTTGCTGAGACTACACACAGCAGAACATAGTCCAGTGCAACTATTTCTCGCCATACAGTTCCACCTCCTGGGTTCCATTCTTGAAGCTGTGCTGCCGTCCTCCCCTCCCTTCCTGCGCTGGCCCCCTTCCGTTCACATGAACTCTCTGCCCAGTTTCCCATTGTCTGAAGTCAGTTTAATCCCTATAAAGTTTGTGTTTGACTAAAATTCTGAATAACCTGTGGTTAAGCGCTCAGAAGGTCAGTGTTTCAAACCCTCGCAGTCAGCAGCTCCACAGGAGAAAAGCCTGGCCCACAGCTCGCATGATATTTCTAGTCTCTGAACCTCCATAAGGAGGCTGCTCTCCTCTGTCCAGGAGGATCACTGAGTGTCAGGATCGACTGGACAGCACACAGCGTACCAGGAAGTGTGCTTGTCTGCTCCAGTTGGTATCGTGGTAGCGACCCTCTTGCTTCTTCAAAGTTCTTTCCTATAATAATAACTAACAAGCTCTTGCTCCTTCTTCTTAGATAATCAAGTTCATCGGCACCAGAAACTGTGGGATGTTTTTAAGATGAGTAAAGGAGCAGGTAATAGCTTCTACTTTTAAACGCAATGTTTACCTTTCACATTTCGGCAATTTCAAAATAGAGAGGAGCCAAGGATAAAGCCATAAAGCAGGACGGGGTGGGGTGAAAGGATTCATGGAAATGAGAATGACAAGGCATGTTCTGAAATGTTCTGAAACAAAGTGCGTATGAACGGTTGAAAGAAAAACCAATTCACTCTGGAAATTTGCACTCAAGTCCCAGTTGAAAAAAGGAAGTAGGTACTCCTTACAATTCTTTTGGGTTTTTTCCTAAAATGAGATAATTATTGTTATTTAGGAAAAAACGTGGAATATGTCTATTGGCCCCACGTCAGAGGCACTGGTAGCATTTGTGTGGTTGGATCTTTACTGCTTTTTGAGGTCACCCAAAATGTTTAGCTTCAGTGTTCTTTGCAGATGACTTCATTAAAGACGCAGAGCTCCTGATTTTTCTCTCATCTTCTCTCTGACAGGTGAAGACGTTGACCTTTTTGACATAGAACAGTTCAAAAGTTCATTTACAAAAATTCTTCGGAAAGCTTTAAAAAATGTAAGGATAAAACTCATCAGAACTTCCATTCAATTCAGTTTTTTTTCCCAGGTGATTCTCCCCTCCGCCCAATTATGTCTAATTTCCTATTTTATTGCATTTTGGTGAAAGCTTACACAAGAAATTAAGACTTCCATTTAACAGTGGTCGCACAAATGGTCCAGGGACCGTGGTTACATTTTTTACGATGTGTTGGAGAGTGCCATTCTCCTTATGCCTTTAGCCTCTCATTTTTACTCTAGAGTAATTGGTGACCACTTTTTAAGTGACTTTTAAAGGCAAAAATCACCCTCAAAGCTTCTACTCTTTCACATCTTCCCTCCTGGGTTCACGTGGCGCACTCCTGGCTCTTGTTGATGTGAGCGCCGTTGACTCAGTTCTGAGTCACAGTGACCCTACCTACAACAGGACATTTAAATTCCGTTTTATGGCACCTCCACTTAAGATTTGTTACTCTCTTGGTTTGTGTTTTAATTTCAAGAACCCTGGTTCAGCAGCAGTTCAGCATTTGGCTGCTAACTGGAAAACCTGGTTTGAATCCCCTGACAAACGTGTAGTAAGAAGTCTTCATTCAGAAAAATTCCTCCTCAAACCACACTCTCTGCCAGTAGTCACTTCCGACTCCCAGCAAACCCCTGTCAGCTTTGAGGCTGTAATCTTGACAGGAGGAGTGGCCTTTCTCCGGCGGAGCCACCAGTGGATTTGAGCCACTGGCTGCCCTACACGTCGCACACTAAGCCAGCAGGTTTTCTCCGTAAAGATTTCCGTCTTGAGAACCCTACAGCCTCTGTCCCATGGGGCTGTTGCTGGCTCAGATGATTCAGTGGCAATGGGCTTTGTTTGCTTTTTGTTAATTTATAAGAAATTCTCTACCAGTAGTCTCCGGGTTATGAACCTCCAACTTAGAAGTTGCAAACCAACTTCTGTGAAGCCTATTAAACTAAAAATCTGAACTACAAAACCATGCTTATTAATCACAAAATGATCAGTACCTCCTGATGTGTTATTATTGTACTTCCATGTAGCTATTACTTTTTATTTTGTTAAAGTTATTTGAGTATATGAAAGTCTTTTTTTGTGTGTGGTGTGTTGTTTGGGTTTTTTTTTATGCACAGAAAAGTATATATAAGTAGAGGCACTGGTGGCATGGTGGGAAAAGGAGTTGCATTGCCAACCCAAAGGCACACAGTTCAAATCCACAGTCTGCTTCTTGGGAGAAAGATGAGCAACCTCATGCGGTGTGATTTACAGCTTCTGAAAATCCACTGGAGGGTCAGCTATGAGTTGGTTCTGACGCAACAGCACACAGCAACAACATACACTAGTAGAACATTTGACTGACTGCTGTTAGATAAGAACCACATCTGACTGATCTGACGTAATAGACAAATATTCCTTCAAGATGAACTAAGGAATGAAACTCATTCATAATCCAAGGACTACCTCTAGCCACCTTAGAGACGAACTGTTTCTATTATGACAGCTTCCTTGTCTTCTCTAATTCCTCCTTCTCAAGACCAGCCCTGCCCTCGAAATTCTCTGCAGTGGTCGACGTGTTCTGTGTTGGCTCCTAGTCACGTGTGTTTTTGGGGCACCGGAAATGTGGCTGATGTAGCAGAGGCACTGAATTCTTAAGCTTAATGACATTAAATGAAGTGACCACGTGTGGCTGGTGGCTCCCTCACAACCGTCTTGAGCTAGTGAATCAGACAATGGGGCAGCAGGCCCCGGCCATCTGTGATCCAGCTTTCTGAGGGTTCTGCTGTCCGATTGAGTTTGAAAACCCCAGCTCACTTTTCAGCATCCGTTGGCCTGGTCTGCCTTTGCTGTAGTACTGATTGCACACCCTGAGTTAAGCGACCCCTGCTCTAAGTGTTTTGCAATCACTCACTGCAGCCCCATGATGAAGTGAGTTGGGTCATACAGCTGTTTAATGGCACAGCAGCTGGTGGATTTGAACCACCAGCCTTTAAGTTGGCAGCACAGCTCCTTACCTGCTAAGCTACCAGTGAGTTCAAACTATTGACTTTTTGGTAGCAGCCAATAGCCCTAAGTACTATGCAACCAGGTCTCCTAAATTAGGCAAAGTCTTTGCAAATTCTGCAGTCTTTCATTGCAGTTGTTTTTAAAACAGTCTACTGTGGGTTAAAGCAAGTCAGCACTGATCTACCCTCAGTCACTTGTCTCTATCAAAAATGACCTGGTTAATTTTCAATATGAGCCCTGAAATCATTGTGTTGGGTTCACAAAACAACAAAAATCTCTGGCATTTTGAGTGTTTAGCTTCTGCACTAAATGCATAAAAGCACTAGGATTGGTATATTTTTAAGCTTACTACTCCATGGATATTTTACTCCTAGATTTTCTAATGCCCACTAGGTCTGTCCTAGATGCTAAAAAAGCTTCATCATGACGTAGGAATCCTATCCATAAGGTTGTCCAGCTTCATAACGTGATGGATGTGGAAGCAGTTTTTCAGGACAGGCCCAAAGAATTATTGAAAAGTTTTGATGTCAAACCCCGATTATGGTTTGTTTTTTTTTCTTCTAGAAGGCTTTGCAGAGCATAGGTATGTGCTCTCACAAACTCAATTCATTTTTGTGGAGTCAGAACCAACCTCCATTGGGTTTCCATGGCTGCGAGTCACTTGGGAAGAGATTACCTGTCTTTCTACCAACGAGCCATTGGTGGATTTGAACCACCACAGAGGCATGACCTGGGGTAGCAGCACACATCCTTCTGGCTTACGGCACCAGAGCGCCCTGTCTTTACAAAAGCACAAAAGACTTTCCCAAAACATTGCCCTCCTGCTGCGCTCTAGTGGCTTGGTGTGCAGGGAGTGCTCCTAACCCCAAACAGCACCTGCACTGGTTCCAATCCGCCAGTGACGCTGAGGTAAGAGGAACGATCTCCTTTGTGTGATTTGTAGCCTTGGAAACTGGGAGAGGATCAGCAGTAATCCTCATTAAACGTTTTTCCCAGTATCATAATGGACAGTAGGCGAAAACACTGCCGGATCGCAGTCCAGGTGCAAGATGACATGATGTCACTCTCACCTCGCACCTCGAGAAAACACCCACATCTGGTGCTGCAGTGAGACTTCAACAAGGAAACCTTACTCTTTCTTCATAAGGTGATGGTCAGCTTCAGAGAAGCCGAGGAGAAAGCACTGTGGATTCGGATTGCCTGGGGAACGCAGCGCACGATGCCGAACCAGTATAAGGCCACGTACGTGGTGTATTATCCGCAGACTCCGTACGTCTTTGTGTCTTCCTCCAGGATGAAGAGCAGTATACCCCTTCTGGGTCAGGTATGGAGAAAACGATTACGAGGGCTTGCATTTCCTTATTCCCATTGGCAAAGCGCCACATAGGTTTAGAGTTCTGGTAGTTACGTGCTCAGGGAATGGAAAGGTCAGCTGTCTGAATCCCCCAGGTCTCCAGGGAAGAAGGATGTGATGGTCTGCTTTGGTAAAGCTTGTGGCCTTGGAAACTGAGGCCGTTCTGCTCTAGCCTAACAGGTCACTATGATGGGGAAACCACTATGATGGTAGCACTGGGTATGATAGAGGTTTTTAGTCGTCTGAGAAGCATCTAACAGGGAGAGTCACATGTCATTCCAAGGACAGAAAGGTTGTTACTGTGCATGAGGGAACATGGCAGAGAGGTTGATTTGGATCCGTTCTCTTTTGCCTTGTAATCTAGAAGTAACACACATTGTTTTCGCCAGGGGCCTTTGAGTTAACTCCTATTGATTGCGACTCCACGTACGACAGACCAGAACTCTGCCCAGTCCTGCACCCTTACGATCTCCACTGTGCTTGAGCCCATCCTTGCGGTCACTCCGTCAGCCCCTGCCATCGAGGTCTTCCTCTCTTTATTGACCCTTTACTTTTCCAAGCACGATGTCCTCTTCCAGGGTCTGGTCCCTCCAGATAACATGCCTACATTCACCACCCTTGCCCCCAAGGAACACCTCAGCTGCACTTAAGTTTTACATTTCAGCCAATACGGAAGTCTCTGAAAATGAAAGCCTTTCAGAATGTCATATCCCTTCCCTAAGTCCCTTCTCAAATAACTACCGTGAACGGTTTTCCTGTTCGGAAAGATACTTTATTATACGTCATTCTGTAGTTTGCTTTAACTTAACAGACTCTCTCCTTGTTGTCAGGAAGCCCTGGTAGAGCAGTCAAGAAAGTGTTTGGCAGCTAACTGCAAAGTTGGTGGTACAAATCCACCGCCTGGTCTGCAAGAGAAAGCTAACAGCTGGCAGTGAGGAAGATGGAAACAACATTGAAAGGCAGAGGGTTTGTGAAAGAGAGGGAGGCCCTCAGTGCAGTAGACTAACACAGTGACGGTAACAGTGGGCTTGCCCGTGGCAGATAGGCTGGAGCCGGAGAGGGCAGAGTTCAAATCCATCGTTCACAGGATCATATGCGACTCAGCAGCACCTAATCACCAGGCCATTAGCCACTTTTTTGATGATTTAAGATGAGTAACACACCATGAGATTATATACTTCTGGCCTTTTCACCCTCTTTGCTGAAAACTGTTCACTGGTTGTAGATCCTATGTGTTTACCTTGAAGGATATAATCCTGGTGGACACAGCCGTGCTAACAGTCTCCCTCGTTTTCATTTCAAGGCACTGGTGATTGCAACCAAGCACCATCAGATTATAAAAAAGGACTTCAGGAGCCGCTACCTGGACTCCCTTGTATCTATTGTTTTTAAACAGTATAATCAGGTGAGTGAATGGTGACACTCCGTCAAGTTTACTCGTAGGTGAGTAAGAAGCCACTTAGCATGTGGGAAAGGCCACCTCTGACAGGAGGAGGTCACTTAGATTTCCCTGCAGGGATGAGAAAGCCTTCAACAAATTAACATCAGAGGGAAAATGCTTAGTTTCTCACCATTACCCTTTTTCCCCCTTTTCTTTTTTCATTCATTGTTGCACATTTTCTTATCCCAGCTCCTTGCCCCCTCCCCAGCCCACCCTGACCATTATCTTTTTAGAATTATGTTTCGTTTTTTTTGTTTTTTTTAATTTTGTGTGCGTGTACCATCAAATCAGATCTGACTGGTACAGGAGGATATTGCGCCTCCTTCTCCGGCAGAGCATCTGGTGGATTCGAACCGTGTTCCTCTGGGATTGCAGTGCAGCTTCTTGCCACTAGGCCACCAGAGCTCCCCAGAATTATGTTTTATATTACTTTGTGGTTGTGGTTGGATGCTACTGTATCAATTCATCTAACACTGCTTGTGGAATTTTAAAATAGTGCAGGTACTGGCGAGCTCTGGTAGCCTAGTGGAAAGAAGCTGCAACTACAGTCCCAGAGGTGCATGGTTCATATCCACCAGATGCTCTGCTGGAGAAGGAGGAACAATCTCCTCCTGTACCAGTCAGATCTGATTTGACGGTACACACAAAAAATAACGAAATAAAATATTTAAAAAAAAATAATAAAATAGTGCAGGTACTATGAAAGGCAGTGAGGGAATTCTCCAGAAAGTTAAGAATAGAAATACTGTTTGATCCAGCAATACCACTAATAGTAGGTACATATATCACAAAGAGATAAGAACATTGACATAAACTCATATAAGCACACCCATGTTGATTGCAGAGTTATTTGTAATAGCAGCCCAAGTGTCCATCAGCAGATGAATGGTAAAAGAAATAATGGTACAAACACACAGTGGGATTTTATGCATCACGAAAAAAATGATCAAGAATTCAAGAAGCACTGCACAACATGGAAGACTTGAGAACAAATTATGCTGAGTGTGTCAGTCTAAAAAGGACAATTATGAAATAAGGACCACTATTATAAAAAAGCTAAGGAAAGGTTTGCACATAAATAAAATCATTCCTGGGTGATTACCAGGGATGGGAAGGGAGAGAGTGCGCAGTAGAAAATAATAGATAGGTTGGGTGAAGGGAAAGGCAATGTACTAATCCGACCCCTTATTGTATGTATGCAGTTAATTCTATGAATCAGTTATTGTTGTAAGAAGATACGTGAATTATTGGGTGAAAAAGCATTAGGACTTGTCAACTTTTCACGGAGTGGGAAAAAACTGAGAAGAGGCAAAGACAGGGACTCGTGTATATGATAAGGATTTAAGATTCAGAACTTGCGGCTCGGAGAGGCCTCGGTGCATCTTTCTTCGGTCATCGCGCATCCGGGTTCATCCGACACCAGCCGCCTCCGCCATGCTGCCCAAAGTCGACCCCAACGAGATTAAAGTCGTGTACCTGAGGTGTACCGGTGGGGAAGTCAGTGCCACTTCCGCTCTGGCCCCCAAGATCGGCCCCCTGGGTCTGTCTCCAAAAAAGGTTGGTGATGACATTGCCAAGGCCACGGGTGACTGGAAGGGACTAAGGATTACAGTGAAACTGACCATTCAGAACAGACAGGCCCAGATTGAAGTGGTGCCTTCTGCCTCTGCCCTGATCATCAAAGCCCTAAAGGAACCACCCAGAGACAGAAAGAAGCAGAAAAATATTAAGCACAGTGGAAATATCATTTTTGATGAGATTGTTGGCATTGCCCGGCAGATGCGACACCGGTCTTTAGCCAGAGAACTCTCTGGAACTATTAAAGAGATCCTGGGAACTGCCCAGTCTGTGGGCTGCAATGTTGATGGCTGTCACACTCATGACATCATAGGAAGACATCAACAGTGGTGCTGTGGAATGCCCAGCTAGCTAAGGAACTACAGATGAAAATATTTCAATAAAGGATTATTTGTTAACCAAAAAAAAAAGATTCAGAACTTAATCAAAACATGGGCAAAGGATTCCCTAGACATTCTATCAAGGGAGAAAAACAAATGACTGGGAAGTTGGTCAGTATCCTTAACCATTAGTGAAACAACTCAAAACGAGTGCAACATCACTTCATACTCCCTATTATAATGTTGACATAGATGTGAAGAAATTTGAACCCTTGTCCATGACTGGTGGAATTGTAAAACAGTGAAAAACAGCCACTGTGGCCAGCAACGTTGTGGTTCTTCAAAGAGTTAAACGTGGAATATGATCCAGCAGTTCTACTCCTAGGTGTCGAATCTGAAGAATTAAAAGCAAGAATCCAAATGTTCCCAGAAAAATGGTAGACTAGGCAACTGATGGCCAAGACCCTCTACCACGAAGACCCTGGAACACAGAGATAAGAAATATACAGACAGATATTCTGGAACCCTAGGTTTCAAAGGAAGTAAGAAAGAAGTAATTCATGTGTTGACTGAAGTAAGAAACAGAATGAAGGTATCGAATAAGAGCTGTGAATCGTGAACAGATAAAGCAAGAACACACGCACACGCACACTTGTACACCAGTGCTCACGGTGGCCTGAGCCACAGTAGCCAGAGGCCGGATGAGGCCTAGAATCCAGCAGCCAGTCAGTGGATAACTGTGTGGATACTTGCCCCACCCTTAAAGAAAGCTGAGGGCCTGTTACGTACCAGGGCCTGAATGACCTAAGAGACGTGCTGAGTGGAGTCAGGAGACCACGACTGGAAGTCAGGAGACCTCTGCTGGAGGACCCTCTTTGCATGAGCCATCTGGGGCGGATAGTATATACAGACCTAAGTTACCAGAGTAAAGTAGAATGGAAAAAAAAAATTTTTTAAAAACACCCCACAACAAACCAGTGAAGTAGGAGAGAGTAAAGAAGGGCTCCTGACGTGGAGGGCTGACTGCCAAGGCAACAGCAGGTAATGTCTTGGAGAAAGTAGAGACAGAGTGCTCCTTAGAGACCAGGGTGGCGAAGCTTTGGCTCACATACTTTGGGCATGTTGTTAAGAAGGGCTATTCCCTGGAAAGGTGGAGGATCAGCAAAAGAGAGGGAGACTCAGTGAGATGGACTGACCCAGTGACTGCAGCAGTGGCTCGGGTATGTCAGAGATGATGCTGGCACAGGACAGGACAGGGTACAGATCTGTTGTTCGTAAGGTCACTGTGTGTCCTACTTGATAACAACAGGCTGTGTTAAGGGAGCCTCGGTGGCATAAATCCGTAGGGAATTGTACTGTAAACCCAAAGGTAGAACCTTTCAGGCAATTCACCAGAAGGTCCAAGGGGGAAAGAGGGGCTGTCTCCTCGATGGGCTGTCTTCTCCTGTGGGATATATGGCCTGGGAAGCCCAGTGGGGGCTCGGCTCTGAATTGGGGGTGCGAGAGAGAGAGAAGCTCGTGAAGGATGATGGGCGAGGTGGACGCGACCAGTGTCACTCAGCCGCACGTGGAAACAGGCTGAAGTGGCAAATGTTCCCTTACAGTAACACACAAAAAAGGCTTAAGAACCTATTTGTGACTTTATTCTGCTTGTTTTCTAGGCCTTTGAAACTCACAATTCTCCTGCCCCTGTCCAGGAAATAAGCCCGTGGCAAGATACAGATGGTATGTGTGTTTAAGATAAGACCGAAATGTTGAAGAGCTTTGTTCCCTCTTCAGATGTCTGTCCCGCAGTGTATTTATTTGTCCACCCTCATTTGAAACTCTTTCCTTGCTCTCAGACCACTGAAGATTAAAATGTTAGGCAAGAAGTGTAGCTAAGCTATTATGGGTCTCTTTCAGAAATTACCCTAACAGCCTCGTGTAAACTAAACAAAAATCAGCTCGTGTTTTTTCATCACTGCTGAGCATTTCTTTTGTGTTAAGCACCTTCCTCTGATGTTTCTGTGTGTTGTTTCTGTGAGTGCCCGCTGGTCAGGTAGCAGCTAGGTTACAGAGAGGCTCAGTGACAGCTGGTCATTGGCAGAGGCCAGAGTGACAGCAAGACCACCTGAGTCTACATCTGAGACTCTTACTGCCGGGGGAGCCGCTCAGGTGGCCAGAGCTGTGACATCACTGCTCATTGGCAGCGTCGGTCTCCTGCTGGGAAGCCCACATGTGGGGGGGTGAAGAGCTGTTAACCCAGAACACCAGGCCCACTGCCACCAAGTCACTCCCCACCATGGCAGCGGCCCTCCTCCGGCTTTCCGAGGCTGTAGGTCTTCACAGGAGGAGGCTGCCTCATCATTCTCCCTTCGAGCCAGCAGGTAAACTCGAACTGCCAACCTTCTCATTACCACTGCGCCGCTAAGACTCCTTGTCCAGTTACTCATTCACCTCATCCCGGTTGAATCGGAACACACTGAAAATAGCTGACCCTCTGACGAGTTGTCAGAGACTGTACACCACAGGGGAGGAGGCTGCCCCTCGTTTTTCCTCAGAGCAGCTGCTAGAGTCAGACCGCCTGCCTTTGGGTGCACAGCACAGCTCCTTACCCACCAGGCTCTCAGGTTTCCCCTATTGCCTCTAAAGTGAGTCGAAAGATTTCAGAAACGTGGTTGATCTTATAATCTAAATTTATTAAAAATGGAGAAAAATGAAATGGTACACTCCAAATAAACTAAAAATGTTTTATCTTTTCAATGGCCTGGGAACTGTTGTTTATTTTATGTTCCTTGAAGGGGATAGGAAACAAAATTGTATGCATTTCATAACAGCACCCATAAATACACATATATACTTTACAAATATAAGAAAAGTTTTAAAACTATATATGCCATTTTAGTATGCTATCACATAATAGAGAGCTCTTGTGGCCTTGTCTGTAGGGATCTGCACTGCCGACCGAAAGGCCACGCCTCTCCGGTGGTTCAAATCCACCAGCATCAGGGAGGGAGAGCCGTGGGCACTCTCCTTCCATGTAATTTGCAGCCTCTGAAAACCTGCTGGAGGGTCAGCTATGAGTCAGTTCAGACTCCATGACAATGAATAGTTAATTCAATAGCATAGAATTCAATCGCGTAGTAAAAAATTACATTTTTTAGTATTTATAGTTTGTTGTTGTTAAGTGCCATCGAGTCATAGGAGATTCATAGTGACCCTATGAACGAAAGTCCTTGACACTTGCGTGACTTTCATCCTTTCTCCAGGTTCATAGGGTTTCTAGAGGCAAGCTATTTACGGAAGTGGATGCCACATGGTTAAATTAATTTAAAATGCATATATATGTATTTTGAAAACTACATATATTAAACTATATTTTAGAAATTACATATATTAAAACTCCCTAGAAAGGTCAAAACAGAAATATTCTAAAATGTTAAGCAGTGTTTATCTCTGGTTGGTAGAATTATAAGCAATGTTAATCTTTTCTTAAAATTAATATGTCATTTCCAACTTTTCTTTGATAAGAAATTATGACAATCAAGAGAAGACACACTCAGCCTGGCTTTTAATGACCCTGTCAAGCCTCTGCGTGCCGGGCCTCGGCTGGGCTGTCTTAATTGCCCCCAACCCTCAGGTTCCCTGCCTTCTCCAGGGTGCGGTCTTCTCACCTTCCTAAGCTCGTTTTAGTGGAAAATGTCCACATTTTCCATCTCTGGCAGGTTTTCCCCTCACATAGGTTCCGGCTTTCCCGGGTCAGCTGCACGAGCAGGGGGAAGAGGTGAGGTATGAAAAAGAAGAGGCTCCCAGGATGAAACCTGTTCCTAACTGCTGTCTCATGTGAAATCTTCGCCCTGCAGAGGATGTCAGAATCGTTCATGAACACACTGTGGAAAAAGAGAGGATCCAGAGGGTCACGCAGCAGGTCTTTGGAGACTACCCACAGCCAAGGCTGGAGTTCGCACAGTACCAGGTAGGACGAGGCTGTGAGCGCCTCATTGCGAGGTAGCAGGATCTTTAAGGCAAGCACTTCCAAGGGCTGCATTGTTTTCCCATTTCACCTTTTAATTTTGTGCAAGATTATGTAATAGACCTCTTTCTTTTTTTTAATTTTATTATTATTTTTTTGTGTGTACCGTGAAATCATATCTGACTGGTACAGGAAGAGATTGTCCCTCCTTCTCCAGCAGAGCATCTAGTGGATTCAAACCGCGCACCTCTGGGATTGCAGTATAGCTTCTTGCCACTAGGCCACCAGAGCTCCCTTATAACCCTCTTTCTTATAGACTTGTAAGTTCCTCATTGGCAAAGGAGACATTTGGCCTTTTTGAAATGCCTTTTCATCACCTCTCACATAGTCACTCAGTGATTCCAGCAGGCTGGGATGTGTAGTTTTGAGGAGGGGGAAATAGTTTCCTCTTTAGGTTTGATTCCTTTCTGACTCCTTGGAGAGGGTTGGTAGGAGGTGGACCCTTGGTGAGTTAGAGGAACACAGGGGCGGCAACAGCAGGCTGAAGGACAGCAGCCATGTGAGCAAGGGCAGGCCTGGGCAGGGGCAGTTCTGTTGTGCTTGGGTTCCTATGAGTGAGAACATCAACAACCACCCGTCTCCCCTGGAGCACAGCTTGGCACACAGCATGGACACCTAGCAAGTGAGTAGCGAAGCCATTGCAGGCCCTGCTAGCATGCAGTTATCTGGACAGCCCTTCAGCCTTAGCTCATTTCAGAAGGTCCAGGTCTTTCATGCAAATCTGCCACCTTGTTGGGGTCATTCCACAATCATCTCATGACAGTGTAATCTGATTCCAAAGCCCACACTCAAAACCTAGTCTCTTCCCTACTATTAAAATTCCTTCTGCTCAATCTCTCAGTACTTCCCAGCCACAGTCCAAATCTACTCTCAGTTTGCTCTGATTGATCCAAAGCCTGTTCAGTTTCCTGCATTGTCAGTAAGAGAAGTTGACTGACAGCTTACAAGTGAGCTTTCCATAATGGCAGGTTTAACCCAGTTCCTTTAAGCAGCACCTAATCTAGGATCCAAACTCAAGCTCCTTGCTGATTCCAACTCAGAATGGCCCTTATAGGACGATTTGAACTGGCCCCCGGGGTTTCCAAGGCTCCCGTCGTTTAGTGACACAGGTGGCCACACTTTTTCCATCTGGTGCTGACCTGGTTAGCAGCCAAGCACTCTAACAACGGTGGCATTAGGGCCCCTGGAGGGCACTGGTTCTCAAAGGGTGCTCCCCAGGCCAGCAGTGTCAGTATCAACTGGGCCTGTGTCAGCAACGCATCGCCTTGGCCGTCTTAGTCCTCTCGCATCAGAAGAAACAGCATAGAACCTAGTGATGTTTCTTCACAGACCCTTCTCTTTGTGAGTCTGCACACCAGTGTTCAGGAACCACTGGTCTTGAATTTATGAGACTTGACTCTCAAAACATCCCTTTATGCACTCCTCGTTATTGTTGTTGTTAGGTACCAGCTAGTCAGCTCTGACTTACAACCTTATGAACAACAGATGTGAACTTTATTCTGTGCCACCCTCGCTATCTCTGACCTGCCCAGGCTCGTTATGACAGTCACTGTGTGTCCGTCCATCCTGTTGAAGGTCTCGTTCTCTAATCCTCTGCCCCTCCCAGATGATGTCTTTGTCCAAGGTCTGCACCAAAGTAAGTGGGACGCAATTCCCCCGTCTTTGCCTCTAAGGAGCCTCCTGGTTGCACCTCCTTCCAGACAGTCTGGTTTGGCCTTCCAGCGGTCCATTCAGTACTCTCCTCCACCACCACGGTGTAAAGGCATCAGTTCCTCTTCTGTCATCTTTATTCATGGTTCTAGTCCACAAATCAGGGTGCACGAATGTCCTTACCTGATTTCCTCTACCTTCTCTATTTTGAAAAGTGTTAAACCTTTCAAAGACTGGCCAGATGATCACAGTGAGCATTCATTGACCCTTCAGTTCACCAGCATTTGACCTCATTAGATCTTTTTTCTCTCTCTCTTCATCCTGAACAATCTGCAATAGTTGCAAGCATTATTCACGTCCTTCCTCCCCAAACTCTTTCAGCCCACTCATTTGTTAAATAGAAGGATCATTTCAAGGAAGAAAATATGCATCTTAGACTCATAAGAGCCCGCTGAAGCAACAACACTGAGCTATTTGACGATAGGAAGGAATTGCTCATTTTTTTTTGGTGTGATAGTCACATTGCAGTTACATTTTGGGAAAAGCATCCTTTTCTTCCAGTGCTATTGAAATCTGTACAGATGGGATGCTATACCGTCTGGGGTTTGGGCGTGGGTAGGAGGGAATGGGGGATTCGTCCAAGAAGCAAGGCTGGACGCATGTTGACGGTTGTTCTGTCAACAAAGCTGCACTGACGGTTGTTCTAGCTGAGAGACGGCCACCTGGGGATTCATTAGATGGGGCTGTTTCCCATTTCTGTGATTCACTTATTTATTTCAACCTTGTAATGAATTACACTCCCAAATTTTTCTATCTGTTCTGTAGTTTGTGGCGTTACTTCCACATGCATTTGATGGACATTCTCAGGGAGGGAAAAACCCAACAGCACTGCCATTGACGGATTTTGACTCACAGTAAACCCTTTGTGTCAGGGACAAACCGGCACATCAGGCTTCCAAAGCTGTCCATTTTCAGAGGAGCAGCCGGTGGTTTGGAACCACGAACTTAGAGGTTGGCAGACAGACGTTATGCGACCATAGCTCCTATCCTCTATAATCCATCTCCCTTATTGATGACAAGTTGTAACTGACTCATAGAGGACCCTCCAGTGTGTTTTCAGAGGATGTAATTCACGTAAGAAGAGATTGCCCATAGGAGTTACTGGTTTCGAGCTTCCTGCTTTTAGGTTGACAACCCAACTCCTTATCCACTCGACTTCCAGAATTCCCTTATCCTCTATAACGAGACATTAAAAAGTAATAGTGGCCATGGTCCCAAAGACAGGGTCTTGTGACATAGGAGTGACAGATTACAAGAGAATGCTCATTGTCCATAAAAAGTTCACATTGTAAGAAGGGACAGCCAGGAGCAGAGGCAACAGTCAGTCACATGACCAGTGGGTCGGGTACTTTGCACGCTTGGCATCTTTGGTGATATCTCATTTAAGGTACCGGTCATCCTGAAAATCTGCAGTTAGAGATCCTCACCCCTGCTCACCCCTGCAATTCTTGAAGACAGAAGTTTAATGAACTGTGTAATCTCATATTATCCCATTTGACATCACAGCCGACATTTTTAATGATCATCTAAAAATGTATTTGTTGACAGCTGGAGACAAGGTTCCAGAGTAACTTAAACCGGAGCATCCTGGCCGAGCGGAAAGAGCCCCTTCGGTGCCTGATCAAGTTCTCCAGCCCACATCTGCTGGAAGCTCTCAAGTCCTTAGCACCAGCCGGTGAGTGAGGACTCAGCGTGGCGGCCACGCCGCAGGTAGTACCACGCAAGGCAGATCTCGCCCTGTGGGGCCTCCCAGCTGGTGCACTTTCTCACAAGTTGAAGGTCGAGCAGGCTCTGTTGGTGGCTCTGTTTGTTCCGACAGCATTGCTCACTTGGCATCTCTGTGCCACATTTGGTAATTCCTACAGTGTTTCAAACTTAACTCATGCTGCTGAATATTTAATAGGCTGCAGTTAGCATAAACATAACTTTTTCATGCACTAGAGAAATAAAAAAATCCTGGTGTCTCGTTGCATTGCATTATTGGGTTTATCTGGGACAGCAGTTGTACGCTGCCTGTACCTGCCCTCTGTCCTGTCTTTTCTAACTTCATACGTCTACACTATGTCCTTGTTCTGTGCCCTCTTTTGTACCTTCTGCTTCTGCATGGGGCTCACAGCCATCAAGTCGGAACCAACTTAGGGCTGACCCTCCAGCCAGTTATGGGGAGGCTGTACGTTGCAAGGAAGGAAATTGCTCGTCTTTCTCCCAAGGAGTCACTGAGCCACCAGAGAGGCACAGCCTTCGAATTAGCAGTGCAGCTGCCTACAGACTGCACTGCCAGAGACCCCTTCTGCATCTAACAGTGCATCCAAAGCCCACCCTCTCGCCGTGGTCATTCTCACGGCCTCAGCCTTCTGCCCGCTGTGATTATTTGACACTTGTTTCTCTTTTCTTGTTTCAGGTATTGCAGATGCACCGCTGTCTCCATTGCTCTCTTGCATCCCCAAGAAGGGAATGAATTATTTTAAGATTAGAGATAAATGAAATCTGTGCGGCTCTGTGAGCACAGCAGCCCCTTGGCTGTCTTCTGTTCCACACTCCTTTCCATTTGTCACTGGCTGGACCACTTCTCTCTGTGGACTGTGCTTTAGAAATTCGTCCTTGGTGTTGAAATTTTAGAAACGTTCACGTAGCTGTTGGGATCAATCCACCTAATTTTTCTCAGTTATCCTGAAAAATAGAGCAAATGTGGGCTTTTGCGACATGAGTGTATACATAAGTACATATAGCTCCAAACTTGACCTTGTGATGAACGACTGATCAAAAACGAAGCAAGCATGACACACTGTTTGGGATTACAAGACATTTCCAAAGATTTTTGTTTAGGCTTTGGATCATAGAAAACAGCACCAAGAAACCACGCATAACTCGGACTTCTTAGAGCAACAGGAAATGGGTGCATCCCAAAGGCAGAGTTGGGTCTACTGCATTATCACTGCCGGAGGTAATATCTCAGATGACCCAGCTGTGTAAAAGAATGGTTTCTTTCTGATAATCCTTTTTTATAATTTATTGTATCTCCATATGATATTTGAACTAATATAATGCTGACTTGTGAATATAGATATTTAAAAACTGATTAATCAGCTTTGAGGAGAATATTTCAGTGAACAACAATTCGTGACATGTATTTTTATAATAATTGCATTTTTTTTAAGTCTATTCCCTAATAAAGAAACAATTTCCTCTTACCTGGATCCATAATCAGTACACTTGACAGCCACCAACAGTTGGAGATCAGATGTATTGGATAGGAGAGTCTGTAGTTCAGGACTTCTCCAAATTACTGAGGAGCTATGATGTTAGTTTGAGGACTAAGGAGTGCTCGCTTCAGACCACAGTCATTTCAGTCATTTGCTGTGCATCTGAGAACTGGACAATGAATGACTAAGGATGACAGAAGAAGAATTGATGCCTTTGAACTGTGGTTATGGAGAAGAGTGCTAAATACCCCAAGGACTGCCAAAAGAACAAACAGATCTCTGTCTTGGAGAAGGTGCAGCCAGAGTGCTCCTTGGAGAAGTTTGTCTCACATTCCTTGGGCATGTTGCTAAGAGAGATTATTCCTTGGAAAGGGACATTATAGTTGGGAAAGACCCTCAACTAGATTGTGAGGATGGCATGGGATAGGATAGAGTTCAGAGTTCATAGGGTCGCTATGAGTCATACTGAACTCCATGGCACCCAGCAACAGAAACAAACAAATCTGTTTCCTTTCCCAAAGGGATTTGAGCATTTAGGAACAGGTTAAGATTATGCCACAGTTAAAAGAGGAGAACTGGGCAAATGAGAGGCCACAGAGAGAAAAGGGGTCAAAATGAAGAAAGAGGTAGAACTATGTAAAAAAACATGCAAGTGCCTTTCTAGTTACTACCCATCAGACATTCAGCTTGGAGTTTGCTCTGAAGCACAGAAGAGATGACCAGCTGAAAACTGCTAAGCATCCACAAGACAGAGCACTTGGTTCGCGCCGGCCATTGAAATGTGCCAGTGCTCCGCATGGAAACTTTCCTGCCAGCCTGATGGGGCCCTTCTACTCTGTCCTCTAGGTCACTGTGAATTGAAACTGACTGGACACCACACAACAGACATCATCCTATGTGTCTTCTCTGCTCGTCTTGATTTGTATCCTTTTCATGATAAAGATAAACATTTTTATCATAAAAATCAAATTTTTTCAAAAAGCCTGCCTACCTTTCAAGGAGGAAGCTCTGGTGGCTGAGTGGTAAGGAGTTGCGCTGCCAGCCCAAAGGTATGTTGCTTGAATCCATCAGCTGCTCTGTCCTGTGCAGTTTACTGCCTCTGAAAGCCTGCAGGAGGGTCAGCTATGGGTCAGTTCCAGTGTGACAGTATATAACAGCAACCCTCCAAGGAGCCATGGTGGTGCAGTACTTAAACACCTGCTAACTGAAAGGTTGTCGGTTTGAACCTGTCTCCACCCTGGGGAACCCCAGGAGGCAGTTCTGTGCCGTCCACTAGGGTCACTGCCAGGCAAACATGATGGCTATGAGTTTTGTTTGTTAGCACCCACTCTCCAGCTAGTCTGGGTTCCATAATCCCCTCTATGGCTCTGACACAGAATTACATGCATGTGTTTCAAGAGAAACGATAATTAAAGTGGCTGAGTCCATACCCTCTGGAAGTAAGGACTCAAGACACAAAGATCAATTCTGTACTTTTGAATACAGTCAGAAAGAAAAAGACTAAGTGGCACTTTATGACATAATGGTCTTGTCTAGAGGTTGTTGGCCATTGGATAAGGGTCTCAAATCAGGCACCGGGCCTATGTGTAAATATTGTTAATTAAGTCAGGAGCGACCCCGCAGGTTTTCAGAGGAGGCAGACTGTCCTGCTGCTGCAGAGCAGCTGGTGAATTTGAACCACACGCTTTTGGGTTGGCAGCACAATTCCTTACCACTCACCAGAGCTCCCTTGTGTGTAAATAAGCAGTCCAAAAGCAGAGCCTGAAGACCATTTTGAAGTCTCGCCGTGAGTGCTTGACATGACCTTGGACCATAGACGTGAAGGACAACATTTCTTTTTCTCTGAGGCCTGACCTATGCAGGACACCTAATCTACTTTGGAAGGCTCTTTGTCATTGTAGACAAATAGATACACAATGTGAGGTGGTTGTTACACGCCATCAAGCTAACTCTGACTTAAAGGGGCCCATGTACAGCAGGTTGAAACTGTAACTGCCTGATCGTGTGCCATCCTCACAATCTCCGCTTAAGTCAGCTGTAACCACAGTGTCCATTCCTTGCGTCTTCCTCTCCCTCTCTGACTCACTGCTTTTCCAAGCATAATGTCTTAATGGGTCAATTTCAACTCAATGCTACACAACAACAATCAGATTCAACAGTATACGAATGTAGCCTGTTGCTATTCCTGCAGAATAGTCATTTACACCCTGTGACAACGGATCCCCGATCCACCCATCAGTAAGCGTCATTTGCTTTTATTTACACAAAGTCTGTGGTGTGGCACCATCTTAAATGAAGAGTATTCTTTGTGTTTTCAAATTTAGCAGAAATAGCAAATCTGTTTTGGAGGAAGTGTAACCAGGATGCTTTGGAAGCAAGAATGGTGAAGCTTCGTGTCACATACTTTGGGAGTGTTGTCAGGAGGGACCAGTCCTTCGAGAAAGGTGAAGTGCCAGAAAGATTAAGACCCTCAACAACATAGGCTGACGCAGTGACTGTAACGATGGTCTCATACATCATGAGCACGGTGCAGGACAGGCCAAGCTACCTTGCTGTCTGCAGAGTAGCTGTGAGTTGTAGACTTGGTACTAACAACACCCATGAATGTACTGGAAGCTTCAGTTACCTCAAAATGAGGTGCTGCGTTCATAAGGTTAGACCTTCATCATGGGTGTGGTTGGGCCGTCTTCCCTAAGTGCTGGGCTCACTCCTTCTGCCCAATAGTTGAAGACCTCTGTACATCTGTAAGGAGGCCCTTTTAGCTTCCCATGGCTGATTCCATCCCTGCCCAGTACTTGGCCAGAATGAGGAACAAGAGGTCAGTCTTCTTCAGCTCATATCGCCGGTGAGAAGCCACTACCCTCCCAGAGACACTTAATGCAGCCCTCAAAACATGCAGTAATAAACTGACCTAAAGGCAAGTCGCTTCATCTCTTACCGGCTTCTGAACCAAATATGGAGGAAGGAGTAGTACATACCCCCACGGGGTGGTTTTCCCGATTAAAAGATACTAAATGAGAGTGCATCTAAATTCCAA